AATTATCTAGAAGTGTTTTATTTTTCATTTTTTTTCTATAAATCGGAATGACCTGAAATTTGGAGGGTGTGTACATCTTACTGAGGCGCATCTAATAAAAATATAAAAAAAAAATTATTCAAGAAAAAAAAAATTAACCAAAATACCCTCGAAAAGTTTTTGAGGTATTTTGGTCAATGTTTTTCATGTAAAATATTTTTTTTTATATTTTTCGAAGATTCTCGTATTTTTTATTAATACACGCTTCAAATTTCAGGTCATTCCGATTTGTAGAAAAAACATAAAAAATGTAATATTATTGGACAATCATGACCGTGCGAAGAACTTTGGACGGTGATGGGGGTAGGTGAAATCACTGTTCATTTTCGCCTATATTTGTAGAATATTTTTTCAAAAAAATTGATTCGTTCTAGATTTGGACCCAAACCAAGTTGGGTCCGGGTCCAAAACCCTGGACCTGAATTGGGTCTGGATTTGGGTCAACCAGGACCCAACCCGATCCATTGTCACCCCAAGTTTACATTAAATATAATGGAGAATATAAAATAACTCACAAGTTACACCTTATGATGGATAAGGTAGAAATCCAAATACTGACTCTCAAGTAGCTGCAAGTATCAAAAATATTTGAAAGATTGTCTATGTAAGGTAGGTCAGTCCCAAGATGATTCCTTGGAGAAAAGATTTGCAGCTTGATACTGTGGAAAAAACAACTCCCTGTAAGAGGGAGGGATAATTTAAGAATGGCAGGTTCTCTATGGAGAGAGTTTGATATGAAGTTTCTTTTTTGTGAGAACCAAACCAACCCCCCCCCCCACCCTACCCCTCCCTTCTCATCTTCCACCTCTTCCAGATGAGTCACACATTAAATGGGCCTGTTTCAATTCAGTTTTTTTCATAACTGCAATAGATAGATCGATAATAAATGTGCTAATGTATATGTACCTATCACCCATGTGACTTTGTGATGGCAGTTCAAATGTTCGGGGGTGTGGTACCACATCTTAATGTTTAAGTATGACAAGCGCAAGTATGACTCTGCATTTCTAGATCAATTTCTTTTCTGAAGGACTCCTCTAGGTCGGAGTTTTATACATTTTGTGTTTTAAGATGTGAAAAAGTCACACATGTTTGGTGTGATCTCCAAAATCAGCTACAAACTAGCATTCAACCCCATGTAATGCACTGGCAAATTGATGAAGTGGTTCACTAATTGGAAATAAAATACATACATAGGGTACAAAATCTACTTTTAAAATCAAAGTTTGTGTGGTAATAAATTTTTAAAAGGATATAAGTATTTAAATTTTAAATATGTTTATCAAAGTCCTGAGCATGTTTAACTTGAAATTGATGAGGTCATCAAGAAGAAGCATTTTTCTAATAAATGCCTTTATTTTAAGTAAGGGTCCACATAACAAAAAGTCATCTTGTTTGTCAAATTAAACTACTTGAAATTGATGAGGTCATCAAGAAGGATCATTTTTCTAATAAATCCCTTTATTTTAGATAAGTGTCCACAACCAATTTAAAATAACATAACAATAAGTCATCTTGTTTGTCAAATTAAACTACTTAAGCAGGATGCTTTCATAGCAAAATCTAGCGCACGACCACCCCTCCTTACCCGCTTTAGGTATTGTTGTGGATTTATTATTTCATTTTGTAATTACTTTGTAAACCATTGTAGCTTGACATTGTCTCAATGTAACTATTTTTTATTTTTTTATCGATGGAAAATAAGCACATAAGCCAAATAGAGGGCATGATTAGAAATCAAGTGGAAGAGAGACTCATGTTTAGAGAATAATGCCAACATAAATCACGACATATTGCCAACCATCATAGTTCAAGCTTGTCTTGATGTAACCATTCTTGTCATAAATTTTTTATAGTTAAAAGAAACGCTCGGAACCCATTAGGGGCATGATTAAATCAAATGGAAGGCAGCTTCATACTAGGAAAAATAGAAACATAATTCAAGACAAATAACCGCAATCAAATTCCCAAGCGGCAAACATGTATGGAAGTTAGAAATACCTTTTGCCTAGTCACCTCCCAAAGAGGACCCAGAGCTGGATGGAGTAGAACAATGAATGGTGGTACAGAATGGATGTAATGAGAATTATCTTCAATCTAACCATAAAACATAACAATTAGAAGGGTAAAAAATAAAACTAATATTTACCACTTGACGCACTTAAAACACTAAACTAACATAAATTGGAAAGCGAAGGAACATATTTAGTGAAGATAACCAAATCCTAAATTGAAATGAAATCAATCTGCGAGACGCATCAAAGAACATGTACCTATTGACAAGGCCAATTTATCCAGGATTTACATAAAAAAGTTGCCAAAGCCAATATAAGATTCATATTGAGCTAAATAGTAATCATGAAACTGTGACAAAGCAACAACAAATGCCACTCGTTCAGGGCAAGTAGACAAGTACAAGCTTGACAAATGAATTCTCCAAAAATGTGATGCCATCACGAATTTGTTAGCATCTTTCAACTAGCTAAAGATCCTTATGCATTTCCTCATCACCAATTAATCATTTGGCAGTTTGAAAATAAACTGAGTTTAATGCAATAATCAGCACATGGAGTTGAATCCCAACAATGCGGAGAGCAATGCAAATGACAAGTTTCAATTTATTAGTAAGTTTCATAGAATCAACTAGTTGAATGAAGCTCCTACCTAGGGTAGCAATTGACCCCAAAAGATGGATTATTAAATTACAAATACCATCCAAAAATATACATGCACATAAAGGATAGATACGCATGCATATACTATGTTCTCACAAGATTACATCGTCTTGTCTTAGCACACTTTACCATCCCTTTTGCCTCATAAGGCCTCTTCTTACCTTGATAATATTCACCCTAAATTTGCTGCCTATTGAGTTCATCTTAAATACACAACAAAAGGAACCCACAATCTCTTTCAGATAAAGCTCCTAACCAGTGGTCACACCTCTTGCATTTGGTTCTTTAGAATGCAGATTATTGTGGCAAATGAAACATGAATAACTCAATTTCAAAGCTGGATTCCTGAAATGTTGTCTTCACATGAATAACTCAATTTCAAACAAAAAAAAACTCAAAACCCTAGTGCACCAAGTGAAATAAATATTGACTTACAAACTTTCTTGTGGAGAAAGAAATGGTAGGGAAGAGAAATTAGACCTTAGGAATTTCTATATTACAAGGAGAAAGAAGGTCATATGCATTCCTCATCACATCCAAGAAAGCCCCATCAGGAGTCTGCACCAAATCAAAATCACGTGCATGAGAAGAAGAAAATACAATTACTATCGCCACTACACAATCTATGTATTGCACACTTAACAACTAAGCATTAAAAACACGAGTCCAGGACTCAACTAGAAATAAATATGAGTGTGATTCTTAGACCAACAGACTAATCAAAAGTCTGACTTGTCCAAGATCATGTCCAAACTTTATATTTAAGAAGTCAAAAGAGGTAGGTTTTGTCAAATTTAGATTTATGAAGAAATCAATCTTAAAAGACCTATTCCTCAACAAACTGCAGCCGAACTGGCTTAGGTGGTATGAAATCCGAAAAGCACATAACAAAACAAAAATAAAAGAATCAAAAATAAAGAGACAGGCAAAAAAGATCTACTAACAAATAGATGAAAATAAACTACAGAAATTAATAAAAGGACAAAGACAAAAAAGGCAAATAGGAATAACAAATCTACTGAGAAAATAAAACCATGTTACTAAAGAAAACAATAAGGAGAAGAAATAAAGATGAAAGAAATAAAAAAAAAGAAGAAAGAACCTGGTGGCCCCGATCTGACAGCGAAGACAAAGTCCTTACACCTTGATCTTCAGATTGATGATCCAATTGCATGAATGACCTCCAGGGAAGATTGTTGCATAGGAATTATACATCTAGGGATTTTCGAATGAATTGAAATGATTTTATTCTGAAACTGACTGGAGCATTGTCCTAGATCTAGGGTTTGAATGGCTTAAGTTAGGGCTTGAGGGCTACATGTTTTCATGATTGGGGATTAGGGTTAGGATTTTTGTTTGTATTAAGGTCTGTTGAAATGGCTAGGAAAAGGTATTTTATGGGCAAAATACACCCCTAAAGCAAGAAGGCGGCGGTCTTTCCAGGGGTCACACATGAATTGTACCACATTATGCGGTGTTGATTTCTCTCTCCTGCACTAAATAATGCAGTGTAGAAATGTTTTCCTTTTATTTTTATACATTTTTATTCCGAAGACCGCGTTGAGTCCAATGGTGGTGGTCTAATCAAAATCAGTTGCTTCTTTTTATACCCGTGACATGTGATTTTATTCCTTCACAGTTACAGAAATTGTCTATTTTTGGCATATTGGTTTCTTATCAAGGAGATTTGAGAATATTGACCTACCTATCTTGCGATTTGGGAATATTTGGCTTTCTAAAATGAGGCATTAAGGATATTTGAAATATCTAGGGAATATTTAGGGAGTATTTAGAGGACATTTAGTTTCTAAAAATGGGATATTAGGGATATCTAAGGATATTTGGTTTCCTAAGATGTGATGTTCAGGATCTATCGTATATTCGGGGAATATTTTGGGTTGGACTATGGTTTGGATGCGTAGTGTGGCTAAGAATATCTTATGGTGTACTAGGATAGTATGCTCCAAAGTTTTAGAATTCATAAATAAAATTAAGTTCGAAGGGGGTGTCTAAAATATGCCACATTTTCAGAACTAAGGAGCGACTTCTTGAAAGGTGATAGTCTAGCAGGGAAATGCAAAATTATAACCGTATTCATATGCTATACCAACTGTCTATTCACAGCGATCAACGGTTGGGGAACTGGAATGGAATCCAAGGGGACATAGTATATTTACAGTTTAAAAATGTGTAGTGCCAGTTGATAGTAAAAATACAAAGTCATAAGCTGCTATAGAGTTATTAAAATCTAATATTCATAATGTGTGATACAAAAAATATGGGGATTTATGGTTTCACTGAGGGTATGGTCCTTGATAGAGCAGCATGGCGGACTACGATTCGTATAGCCGACCCCAAATAGTTGGGAAAAGGCTCTAATGATGATGATTCATAATGTGCGATACATATATATCCAAAATGTAGAAGAGACATCCCCTTTTATATTTCAAAAGCGATTTGTTTATTTTCAAGATAAAATGATACAACACTTCCAAAGGCCTCTTTGAGAAATCAAATACAAATAATGAATACATGAGTATAAGCAAAGAAAATATGAAAAATATAAGCATAAGCACTCAACTACAACATTCATCATATCTACGAACAAAATGGTAATTTCTAATGGCATATGAACTCCTTATGCATCTTTCCAAGCATCAGTTTTCAAGGCAGAGGAGTAATAGATGAACCTGATGCAAAGACTGGTCTGAAAGCCTCCTTTTCCTTTTTGCAGAAGATGTAACCTTTTTCCTTTCATTGTAGACAATGAATGTATCTAACTCGTCTGGAAAAACATGTAAGCAATGAGAAAATACGCTTAAAGAAATACCAATACTACTAAGAAGGATGATACTAGAATTAAATGGGCCCATACCCTCTGTACCTTGTACATCAATATAACTTCTAGATGGAAAAGTATTCAACATGTGATCAGCTATACTTTGCATCGTGCATTCAAGTCGACCCCCAAAAATGCTAGAATGCATAAAAGGACACCAGTTAGCTTGGTGTTTAACTAGCAAAGAAAAGGGAAAATATGCAAGGAAGAAGATAAAACAGTATACACTTCAATTGGGGATCCACATAGCCCTTCTATGTTTCTCATCTGTAATATCATAATTCCTTAGTAAAATGATACTAAATATAACTTAAAAACTCAACATAAAGTGTGTCGCAATTGACTCAAATCGTCTTTCTTTAGAAACAAGTTTCAATGGACCTTAGAACTTTCACTATTAAAAAATCTGACTAGTGATATAACTCAACAAAGTCAATACACTAATCAGGTGCACATGGGTTTTGTTTGTGGAGGAAGGTGAATTTCTCTCTCTTCTATTCATTGCATTCTTTTCTGACTTAGCCCTCTAAGGGTAAAGCTACATCTCTTTTACAACATAATATTGAGTATAGAAGTATGATAATATTGAGTATAGAAGTATGACAATGTGTGCAAAACATTTATAGGATAATGTTTGTAACATAGTACTACTGTTACCATATTCAGAAAAACTACATTTCTTCAACTAGCATCTAACTATTACAATGTGATGATTAAAAGATCAGAAAGGAGTCAAAGGACTTTCCTTTCTTCATTTCAATTATTAGCCAAATAAAACAAAAAAAATATCGTTGGATGTTTGAAAGATCAGAAAGGATTATCACTCGTAGTACCCTATCGGGATTTGGGTCAAAATTATTTGTAACATATATACAGGGGACAAGGTTTTATCTTTTGTTTAGGCCATGTTATCAATAACTCTTAATGGGAAGACTTTTGTTATCTTTCTAACTTTATAATACTATAAATCCTCAACTTAATTCATATGTTTAATGATGAAGCGATGAAACTTGTAATTTGTTGAACATTCAAAGGATCTGAATATGTTGTAGACCTTGATGAGAGATATTAAACATTGTAACTAATTTACCAATTAGTTAATATTTCACAAGTTGGCACTCATTATCCAGCGCCAACATTTCACAGTTCACAACTCCATGATTTAGTATTAAATCGCCAAGGACCTGAGATCTTATGGCTACAACACCACAAAAAAATAAAATAAATAAATAAAACTCCCTAAAAGAAAAACCCAAAAGTTCACTAGTGAGAACCTTGCCGGTCACAAGGAAAGCGTAGAAGAAAATTCTCACGGTCCACTTATGAGAATTCCATTGGTACATAGAACAAGAAAGGGAAAGAAAGGAATCCACTGAATGCTACTAAATTGGTTGTAGGTGCCTTCTTTCCATGTATCTGTAAAATATATTAAGCAGCACTAAGGAGTAGACGCATGTTGCAAGAATAAAACGGAATCCTATCCTCAGAATATAGGGCAGGTGCATTAGAAATAGAGAGTTTAGGGCATTCCATGTAGGTAATTCCCACTTTTTTTAGCAGACAAATCTCATCTTTTGGGACATAGAGAGACTTTATTTGCTTAAAAAACGATGAGAAGAGTCAAAGATAGAGAAATATCTATGGACTTTAAGAGATTTTAGGAGAGATGTTTGCAAAACGATGGGAAGAGCCATGTATAAATAAAATCCATTGAAATCGAGAGGCTTTAGTAGGATAGAAGGAAACTTTATGCATTAAACTTTTTTTTTTAATAGAAGTTTGACTTAGAAAACATTTAAAATTAACTAATTTCTCTGCATTTTTTCCATTGGCTTAAAATGCAATTCAAGGTGGTAATTCAAGGTGGTCAACTTAATCATAAGTGTAATATGGTATTAAACAATTCACTATATTATATAATTACATTATTAGCTATCCAAGATGACAAAAAAACTAATTTGCTCAGTTACTCAAGATGACTGAATAGTTAAATTTCCTTTAGAAAGTGTCGAACTTCTTGTTAGAATAGTTTTTTTACAGTTTTAGACTCGATAGGATAGGATAATATTACACAGAGGGAGAGAGAATTAATACTGAAAACTATAACAATGTGTTTTCTCAACAAAGATATGTCATTACTATAAACAACTCCACAACTGTTCTAGAGAAAAAATAATTTTTTTGGCTTTGATAAATTATAATATTATCCTAAATTTAAATACATCATAACGCATTCGATAAACTAATAGTAGTTTACCTTATGCAGTAACAAAAGATTCTTCTTGTTATAATTGGCCATTGTTATCATTTGTAACAAAGACGCAATGTAGGTCGCAATAATTGTTATAAATTATCACAATGAGCTCTATAACAAAATATTCGTAAATCATATAATAATAAAAATCTTCACATTATAAAGTGATAAATAAGATACCATAACAATTAAGCAAAATATTAGTAAATTTTATAATAATAAATTTTTCACTTCTTATAACAATGATATATAAGATACATAATAATTGATTTAAATAGATTTATGTACAAGAATCAACTAATCATATGGACATATCCAAAGTAAGATAGGAGTTACTGTGACTTATATCTAGGTTAAATTTGAACTGATGGTACCTCAATAATTACAGTATTCTCTTAGTGTACCTTAATTGTTGAGTGACAATTTTCAGATTATATCTAGGTTAAATTTGACCTGATGGTATCTCAATAATTACATTATTCTCTTAGTGTGCTTTAATTGTTGAATGACTATTTTCTTTTTAGAAATATGTTTGTTATAAATAAGAAATATAAAAGAAAACATGTTGACGTTTTGAAGTTAAATGGGCCTTAGAACTTCTACACTTTATTTGTTTAATTTTCAGAAAAGAAAAAAAAGAAATTATAGTAACTTTTTGTCCCAGGTTTTTTTATCGCTTTAAGCCCTAGATTACTATATAAGTTTCCTCCATAAAACATGTAATTGTCTTTACCATCCTATCAAGAGAGTTTAGTATAGAACCATTGAGAGGGATACGAGGGGGCACATTGGGTAGAATTGTGTGTAGGGAGAGAGAAGAGCAGAGGTGATCAAAATACAAAATGTAATATGGACAGGTGTCCAAGAATGGCAAGCAAGGCCATTAATTACAATGTGTGGGTAGAGAGAGAGAGAGAGAGAGAGAGAGAGAGTAGTGTT